GCGGGCGCCGAGGGCCTGTCGGAGGCGGAGCGCGCCTTCCTGCACATGGGCCGCACCATGAAGGAGGACCTGGAGGCCGTGGCCGAGCGCCTGAAGCCGCTGTTCCCCGCCGAGTTCGCCGTCGTGGCGGCCTACGCCGAGGGCTACCACGCGCACTTCGCGGCCCAGCTGGAGGCCCTGGCGCAGTTCGAGCTGTGCGAGCGCGACACCTACATGCTGCTGCTGTGGGTGCAGAACCTGTACCCCAAGTGAGTGCTGGGGGGGGCTGGTCCGCGGGCGGAGGCGTCTCTCCACGCGCGGGGGCCCTGAGCCAGGGGGGCGCAGGCGGAGTCCTGCCCTGCGCGCCCGCTTGGCGCTCGGAAGCCTTCCTTCCCGGGGCCTCAGCCACACTCCGCAGCTGGGGGAACAGGTGCAGAGGAAGGCCGGGACTTCGCTCATTCATGGACTGGGGTGGGGCAGGCAGCGACAATCCAGAGCTGGCGGAGGGGGGCTGTGGGAGCCCAGAGCAGGGGCCTAACCTGGCCTGGTCAGCGCAGGAGGCGCCAGATGGGGTTCTGCCTGGAGCAGGGGCCAGTCCCTGCGCTGGGCAAGCTCCCAGGCTAATAGAGGGAAGGGGGGAAGAAGGCTGGGCCAGGACAGGGCTCCCCGGAGAGGGAGTCACCCTCCAGGGCCTGACGCTGAGCCCCGAGGCATTCTCAATGTTTGGATTTATCCACAGGCTACTGGGGGCCCTCCCAGGAAGCACAGAGAGCAGGGGCGGGGTTGGGCCATGAGGCCCATTGGAAAGACACCTGTTGTGCGGGGTCCCAACGGAACCCACAGCTGATTTGGGTTCTGGCCAAGAGGCCTGGAGCTCCTGCGGTGGGAGGTGGCTGTGCCAGCGGAAGGGTCCCTGGTAGCCGTGGGTACAGCCTCAGGCGTCCCCTGACTTTCCCAGATTCCACGAGTCTCTGAGCACAAGCTGGGTGGGGAGAGACTGAGTGTGGAAATGCCCAACACGGGAGGCCAGGGGGTCCTCAAGGGCTGGCCCAGCCCTAAGTGTAAAACCTGCAGGAAGCCTGGAGGAGTAGACAGTCAAAGCAGCATCTGAGGGTCTCGGGGACACATCTGGTGGCCAGTGGGCTCGGTTGGTGCCTCCAGCAGGTCCGGCGGGTGAAGCGTCAGCAGGGCACAGGGCACAGGGAAGTGGCACAGGGCAGGGGCTGTGGGAGAGCCAGGCCAGCCCTGAAACAGTTCCTTCTTGCTTGTCCTGACTCACCAGGAAACAGCTGGTCTCCCGAACCTCTGCAGGTAGGGGAAACGGTGGTTAGCCCGGGGCCCAACACAGCAGGAAACGGAGGCCAGCGGGCGTGGAGCCCTGAGGAGGGGAGCTCAGGGAGGCCTTGTTGAGGCCTGTGTGGTCAGAAGTACAGGGAGCAAAGGGATGTAGTGTCCAGGTTTTGAAGGGGGCAGAAAGGGTCCCTCCTGGGCCTCCTGGCAGACAAAGGCCCCTGAGGGAGTGCCAGGGCTGGGCCGTCCTGGGGTCCTGAACCCTGCAGAGGCTCCAGAAGGGCAAGTGGAGCCGCCTCTGTGGAGCCTGTGGGCAGCTCTTCCTGTTTGGACTCGCCCAGCCTCTGCAGGCAGCAGGACTGGCCTGGGGGGAAGGGGGGACCACAGGGCTGGGGCGCAGTGAGGAGACAGGGTGGGAGGGAGGCAGAGAGCGGGTGGCTGGTCTCAGGGCTGCTGCCAGAGGGAGTTGGCTTTCCTGTGTGTGAGAGGGGAGATCAGATTTGCAGGAGATGGTGAGCAGGTTCTGCCCGCTGGGTGGATGGTTGTTGGGAACAAGGGCCGAAGCTGGGAGGCCTGGGAGGAGGCTCCCGCAATGAGCCAAGCGAGAGATGGGGGTGGCTGGGCATCGGGCCTGGGTGGCTGCAGGCTGATCAGTGGGGGAGATGGTTTGAAGCCCGAGTAGATGAGGGAAAGAGAGAGTAAAAGGAGGCCCGATGATTCCAAGGTTTTTGACCCGAACCAAACTGAACAGATGGAGGACCCGTCATCTGAGATGGGATGACAGGGATGTGGGGACAGTGGGGGCCAGACAGTGGAGTTCAGGGCCCACAGAGACTCAGGCTGAGGAGGTGGGCTCTCGCCTCAGGGATGGTGCTGGGTGGGCGCAGTTTTCCTCACTCCAGCCCCCCTCTGCCCACAGTGACATCATCAACAGCCCCAAGCTGGCAGGTGAGCTGCAGGGGATCAAGCTGGGGAGCCTCCTGCCCCCCAAGCAGATCCGAATGCTAGAGGCCTCGTTCCTGTCCAATGAGGTGGTAAGTCCAGTGACAGTTCCAGGGCCAGGGCGAGGGAGGGGCAGGAAGGAAACGGAGGGGAGGCTCAGGGACAAACAGGACATGGACAGGGCGCTTGACAGGGACTTCCATGTGGGCAGAGCTGATGGGTTCCTTGCTACCTTGACCTGACTCTCTCCCCGCCAGACCAGTGTGAAGGAGCTGATGGCCCGAGCCCTGGAACTGGAGTCAAATCACTGGGCCCAGGATGTGGCCCCCCAGAGGCTAAACGGCCGCTGCCACAGCGAGCTCGCCATCGATATCATGCAGGTAGCACAGCCCACCCCTCGCACACTCGGACAGCCCCGTGTGAGCAAGCCGTGCACGGTGCAGATCCCACCCTGTGCATCCCTGTGTGCGCACACGCGCCACCTCTGAGCATGCCCCCATTCCAGCATGCCTCCCACCCCTACCCAACCCTCGTTCAGCTCATTCCCTCCCTGCAGATCATCTCCCAGGGCCAGGCCAAGGCCGAGAGCATCACGCTTGACCTGGGCATGCAGATAAAGCAGGTGCTGCTGGCGGTGCTGGCTGCATTTCTGAGGAGGTGGGTGTGTTTATGGGCAGGCCCAGACGGGGCCCTACAGCCTCCTCCCTGTGCCCCAACTGGGGATCCAAGCTAGATCAGTGTCCCCTCCCGGCCCCTAGAGTGCCTGTCATTATGAGCAGGAGTCCTCTCCCCCTGCATCCCCCAACCGGGCACTGAGTGCCTCCGCTCTGCTGGGCAGAGCTCCCAGCAGAGCCCTCTCCAGCTGCAAGGAGGATGCCTCACAAGGGCATCCCCTTCAGGTGACACCCCCCAGTGACACCCCCCAGTCTCTACCCCACAAGTCTCTTGGCTGCCTCCCTCCCCACCTCTGAGGACTCCTCCATTTACCTACCCCCCCCCCC